TTTTTCTCGAAATTTTTCAAGAAATTCAAGCCAAGCATTTCCTATACTCTAGGATTGCCCACTAGGAATATATTCTCACACTAATATGCATACACATCCTCACAAGAAAATATCTAAGTTCTTCTTTTGTCAAATCCTTTCTTAACGGTTTTGCCCACCACTCATCACACTTAATTCTATACCCACATTTCTGTAAAGAATTTTTAGAAAAAAATAGGCCTATCTAACTGTAGGCCTAATTCTCTCATTCACAGACTTCCTTCAAAAATACAAAAGTTTTTTTTTTTGGTTTTCGAGACAAGGTTTCTCTGTGTAGCTTTGCGCCTTTCCTGGAATTCACTCTGTAGACCAGGCTGGCCTTGAACTCACAGAGATCCACCTGCCTCTGCCTCCCGAGTGCTGGGATTAAAGGCATGCGCCACCACCGCCCGGCAAAAATACAAAAGTTTTTGTAAGCTACCAATAACATGTCCAAATCAAAGCTGACAAATCTGAACTATAGTTTATGTATATATAGTTCCTTACTGACACCCCTGTTTTCTCCAAGACTCTGGAAGGCAGCTGAGAAAAAACTGTGCAGTCTGCATCAGGAGGCTTACCACAGGTGGTGGGTTATTTTCAGGCAGCAGTACCTTTGCAAACATGCTGTGGAATATGGTCCAAGAAACTCCTAACAAGGAGAGATAAGCTGGCACATAGATTAACACAATCCAGCTAAAAGTCACCTGCAGCATGTGCTAACACATTTCACCATAAAAGTGACAGGCTACTAAAGTATCTGAAGCCTCATCAATACAACAGGACTGTCCATAAGGCCAGAGATAGCAGTTGCCATGGTTACTATCACCCACTTTTATCATGAAATTACTGTCATTACCCTGAAGTTTCGGGTACTTACTTAAATGTTAAAAAGGAGACTTCAGTGTTCTGTCGAGGGAGAGAAATCAAGTGCTGCCTGATTTGTAAGCATGCCACTTTAGAAATGCACATGGTTAACAACACTTGGATCTGCAGCAGGAAAAAAAAAAATCAATTCCTTTCTGCTGCTCCTGTTCCTCAAGCACTGACAGTTTGTATTTTCAATGCAGCCAAAACAATAAAACAAAACCCATCTTTTTGGCCTCTGTGTCTGAGTTATGTTTTTCCCCAAGGCCCACAAACAGAGTCAAAATAAAACTATTAGGCCCCACCCCTTCCTACCTACATATTACTGGTTTGATTTTTCCTCTACATTAAAAAGCAAAATATGTTGCCTTAGTGGATTCGAAAATACAGGAAAGAAGAGTTTCCTGAAACTGTACATGAACTCTTTTTTTTTTTTTTTTAATGAATAAAAGTAAGGGGAACAGAGGAGAGGGACTTGCAGAATGTTGGGAGGAGAATAGAGGGGGTGGATTCAAAATGCCACAGAGTCTGTGAATGAAAGTTTCTCCAGCAAAGCAGTAGTGATGAGTGAACCCCAGTCTCTACATGGGAAGACTCACCCCCCCACAGCCAGGCACCCCGATGACAGACAAGCAATTGGAACGTTGTTCTTCAGAGTCTATCCCAAGAGGGGCATGGTAATTCATGCCTGCGGTCCCAGCACTTGGGAAACTGAAGCCTGAGGATTACCAAAAATTCTAGGCCAGCCTGAGCTCCTTAGCAAGACCTCACCTCAAAAAGAAAAAAAGAGACTATTCCAACATTGTTGCAGATGATAACTATTCAAAGAATTATATAAAAGTCTATAAAAAGAAAATCTGTATATACATAGGAGCATACAAAGAAAAAACTATGCTCTTTAGAAATAGTTATCCAGGGGGAAGATGGTTCAGTGGTAGGAACACTAGCTGCTCTTGCAGAGGATCTGGGTTTAGTTCCCAGCACCCACGTGGCAGCTCACAATATCCCATAACTCTAGCACTAGGGGATCTGACACCACTTCTGGCCTCCTTGGGCACCAGGCATGCACATGGGTGCACAGACATACATGTAGGCACTGATACATACACATAAAATAATAAATCTTTTAAAGAAGAAATAATTATCTATAGTAAGTTTTATGCAGTATTAACATACTACCACTTAAAAATAAATACAAAAAAAAAGAAATAGAAAATGTGAATAAAAAACAGAAAATAAATAAATAAATAAATAAATACCAAAGTGCCAAAAATAAACACTTGGTGCGGTTAATATGATCAAGACACAATGCTACACTTCTAAAGATGACTTAGGCCCACATAAAAATCCACAGGCAAATGCTCCTGAGAAGTCAACATAAAGCCAGCACAAAACAATACGAAAATTCAAATGTTTCACCTATCTGAATAGACACATAAAGGAATTCTGGCAAAGGTCAGAGGACTAAAACTTCAATCTCTTCCAGTCTCCTTTTGGATAGGAGACTAATCATAAAAGCCTTCAGCACTAAAACACTAAGTCTATAAAAATTTAAAGGCACACTGATGTAACTTTAACCTCAGAATTTCTTTACAAAATAAATAAATAAATAACCTGTGTTCACCATGGCATAAAAAGTTATCATGTTCATGAGAAGTTTCCTTTTGATCTAAACAGTTTAATGCCTTTCTTGCCCTTCCCAAGAGCAAGTTTCCATATTTACTTTCTAACTTGGGCTATTTCATGAAGAACACTCATTTATAAAATTCAGAACACTACACTCCTAAACACAAGGGTTCCCAATTAACTCTATTTAACTTAAGTTTATCATTCCAAATTTGTAATCAGAGTCTATGAAGAAAGACACTTTTTGGTTAATTTTACACAGACACACACACATCACACACACACACACACACACACACACACACACAAGCATTTAAGCCTCTAGAACTGAGTAGTCATTTCCTCACATAACCTTTTAAAAGGAGAAAACAAAATAACATATATATTTACCTAACACTAATGCACAGCAATGTACATTTCACTGTGAAACAAGGAAGCACTTTTCAGAAAGTTAGCAGTCAATCAAAACTTTAGCAGGGACATTTGTTACTCTGTGTATTAATAAAAGTCTACAAAGAGTCCAGGAACTTAAATATTCACTAAAGTCAACACTACCACACAACAGAAAAAGGAAGAAAACTTTTAATAGGGGACATACATTTCACACTATCTTCAAAAGAAAAAAATGATTTTTTTATATTATGGAAAACTGCCTAAGCAGCATTTCTTTAAAAAAAAAAAAAAAACAAAAGCTTCAAAAGTGTAACAAAGAGATTTGGGGTAATGGGGGGGGGGGGGTTCATAGTGTCCAGCATGTACTTTTAAGCATTAATGTCCTAACTGATATGGAAGAACTTAGCATTTTAAAACAGAACTTTGTTTATGTTTTAATTGGTTATCTATCTCATCAACAATGTCTACATGGCTTCTGGCAATTTACAAAGAACTTTCACATGTACTACTTAATTTGATTTTATTGGAAAAAAAATACAATACTGTATCTACAAAATTGAAAGCTGGTCCATCAAATTTTCTCTGTGTTTCTAAGTTTCAAAACTTTGATACAAAACTTTACAAGCAATCACAGTAGCTTATTTTGACTCACAATCCATTCATCTAACACTAAGAAGTTCAAAGGACCATGTACCATGAAGGCCATGAAAATGTTAAAGTGGCTACTTTTAGTTTTCTACAGTCATTGTTAAAAGTTACTAATGGACACACCAGCAAAGATATATTCACACAGGTGTAACTTTCCTTCAAGTTTATTTATTTTTCTTGAGACAAGGTCTTAGAATGTAGGCCAGGCTGCCATGACTTTCAGAGTGCCTGCCTCCCAAGCCTACTAGGATTACAGGCCAAGTACTGGAATTACAGAGCACTCCACTTAATTTCACATATAGTTAAAAAATCACAGTCTTTGAAAAAATCATTTTTCCCCCACACAATATCCCATTTTCCAAAAATGTCTGTATATCCTATTTATATTATCATGTTTGCAAGACCTAAAGCCGACATCATGCCACTTACTTTTTGTTTATTGCAACTTCAAAGAATTTTTTCAAATTCTACACTCCACATATCAATACCACACTAACTCCCCTTTGAAAGAAAATAATCCTAACAGTACCCTACTCTTAACCCCAACATCCACAACAACAAACTTATTCTGCATAGTATCATAGGCGAGTACAAAGCAGATTTCCAAGAGCAAAGGCTATTTATTAACAGTATTTTAGAACAGACTTACTCTAAATCTTCCTGGAACTTTACTCCAGTTGCTTACGAGCTAAGAGAGCTTCAGGAAGTAGCAAGACCCTCAAAATTAAGAGATTGCCTTTAACTTGTGGAGCACCTCCTGCTGGATGCACCAGAGATCTTCATGTTAAACAGACGGGTTTCTGAAGCAGCTCCTTCCAGATAATTGAACAGGAAAAAGAACTGGCCACTGAAAGCCAAAGGAAATAGAGTCCCCTTCCGTCACTTTTATCCCTGTAAAATAAAGTATGGCCCAGGCAGGTGTCTTTTCAATGTATTATTCTTCCAGCTCCATAAAGATTTGCCTGAGTCCAAAGTTTGACCACTTTGATGACTTTGTGTGAAGTCATCTAAAATCTCAAGTTAAAAATGTCTTCAATAGCACTTCAGAAAAAAAATCAAAAAAAAAAAAAGATTTTTATAATAGGCAACCAAGTAATGCCAGTCAAAATGTACATATTGTGCTACCCAAACCCAAGTCTCTAATCAAGAAAGCCCCTAGAACAGTTCTAACACGTTAGTAAAGATGTTTATGCTTTGAGAATTCTCTGCACTATTACTAGTCTTCACTTAAGGATAGGAGCACACGTACTCAAGAGCTGAGGACTGAAATTCTTAATAAACATGTGCATTACTACACTCAAAAATTCCTGTTTGCCACCAAAACATGTCCTGAGATTTTTTTTTTAATGTATTCTTAGACATTTAAAATGGCCCTCAGTAAGCTAGTGTAAAGCTCACAACAGATTTCATACACAAGTGAAGACAGAAGAAAACAGCAAGGAACTTACCGAAATTAAAATGAGTAACAGTATTCCCAGGAAATTTTCGGGCATGCTTTCCTACAAGGCTGTAAACCAAGTAGATGGTAAAACTTTGAAAAGGGGGGAGGGGGCTAACCTTCAAAAACCAATAAGAGAGCTGACCTACTTATTTCTACTGCCCAACTGTGAGGAAACATGAAATGTAAACAAATAACATAAAAGACTTTTCCCAAAAGTAGCCTTACACTTCTTAGCCTCAATCTGAGCCCCCTGAACAGGCCCTCAATAAAAGCTACAGATGATGCTAAAGATCTCTCTAAAAGGTGACCCCCCCCCCCCCGCGCCCCGCGCGCGCGCGCGCCCCCAAAGAGCCACCATAAAGAGCGTCTGCCAAAGGGCTTCCTTCCTAGAATGCACAACTGCCTTAAAGGAAAAAAAGAAGAAAAAAAACCTTCAGCCAGCCCAAATGAATCTGATTCTAACATTCAGCTATCAATTATTAATAAATAAATGCCCTTCCCTCTCTAACTTCCTCAGCTCAAGACTCTACATTCCTGATACCTACCATTAAGTATAACTAGCATCCCAGCTATGGAGTAAAATCTTAGAAGTAAAAAAAAAAAAAAAACCAGCCACAAAGTTCACTGTCAAGGCCAGTGCTGAGGCCCACACATGCCGAGACCTTAAAATCACATTTGAGATTCTAGAAATCCATACTCCCGAAGACATCATTTAAAAACAACACAATGTGGACGTGCAGAGGGAGATCCTCTACTTCAAGACCTAAACAAAGAATATTTCAACATATGACCGGAATATGATGACACCGGATTCACCCACGAAAACAAAACCTGTCTACCATTAGCCGTCGTACCCTCATCTCAACAACTCAACTACTTAGAAATCACTCCCAGCACATCTACACCCCACAATCGGCATGTGGCCTCCTCCCGGGGTGCAAGCCACAAGACAAAGTTGAAAGGAGACCTTTCTCGCCCGGTGCCCCCATGTCCACATCAAACCCCTCCCCTGCCAGGGCCACCTTGCAGCTACCCACCATTGCGAGCGAGCGTGGTCAAGGGAGGAGGAGGAGGAGGAGGAGGAGGTAGGGAAAAAAAGAGAGAGAGAAAGAAATCCTAACAGCACCGCTCAGCAGAATAAAGAGAGCAGAGAGAGGATGACGAGAAGTGTTGGGAACTGCGTGCACCGCGGGGCTGGACCAAACGGAAAGAGTCCCACTCCGCGCGCCCCTCCCCCCGCGGCCCGGGGGGGAGGGGCGGCCGCGGCCCCTCTCGGAGGGGCCTGTGAGTCCCCGGCCCGCGCGGGGTCCCGGGGCGGCGGGCCGGCGGCGACGGCGGGAGGGCCGCCCCGGGGTGAGGGGTGCAGGCGGACTCCTCGGAATAACAAGTTGCAGAAGAAGAAGAATAAGCGGAATTTCCCCAACGCTGCTCCGGCCACCCAAGACAAATGCACCAACACACACTCACTCACACACACTCGGGCCCGGCGGCGTCAGCAGCCGCAGCTTTTTTTTTTTTTTTTTTTTTTTTAAACCAGATCTCACAGTCACCAAACAAGATGGTTTTCCCAAAAAAAAAAAAAAAAAAAAATTAAATTAAATAACCATAATAAAAACTTCCCCCCGACAGCATCCCGGGGGGTGGGGGCGGGGAAGGGGCCCAGGCGGCCATCCCCCGGCCGCAGGCACTCGCGCGGTGGGGGGGGGGGCGGCCTCGGCCCGCGGCCCCCCCAGCCCGGCCCCCCGGCGGGACGCTGGGTCGCCCCCTCGCCGCCACCCCCGACGCGCCGCCCCTGTCACCCGCTCCGGCCCTGCACTCAGCGCCCAGGCTCCCGAGGCTGCTCGTAAACTTACTTCCAATCTATCCGAGGGAGGGGTGGAGGGCAGAGGGGAGGAAGGGGGGAGCCGAGGTATTCCCATTGTCTTTTTTTTTTTTCCTGGGGGGGGAGAGGAATAGGGAAAGGGCACGCAGGGGGGCGCCCCGAAGGGGAAGTTACTGCTGAAATCTCAAGTTGACTGAGGGGTCCTGTCGAGAACACCCCCTTTCCCTCCTCCCTCCCACACACCCCTCCCCTCCCCCTACCTCCCCCCCCACAACAAACTCCAAGCAAGCAGCCCCTGCTCCTTCCCAGAGACAAACACCAGAGACAAGACAGAGGGAGGGGGGGGGAGGGAGGGAGGGGAAATAGAGCTACTCCAGAAAAAAAAGAGAGAGAGAGAGGAGAGTGAGGAGAAGAGAGAATGGAAAAGCTGGGATACTGCACCCTCCTGCTGCTGGCTGGCTGTCCCCCTGGCAGCTGGAGGCAGGAACTCTGAGCAGGAGAAGCAGGAGGAGGAGGAGGAGGGAACTCTTCTTCATGGGGAGGGAGGGAAGAGGCTGGAGCTGCTGCTGCTGCTGCTTCTGCTGCTGCTCTGGGCCTCTCGCACTTTTTAGATATTAGTGTGTTAAGATGGTAGGTTGTTCCCTTCGCCCTCCTCCTCCTCCTCCTCTCCTCACTCTCTCTCTCTCTCTCTCTCTCTCTCTCTCTCTCTCTCTCTCTCTCTCTCTCTCTCTCTCTCTCTCTCTCTTTCTCTCTATCTCTCTCTCTCTCTCTGGGCTGTTTCTTTCCTCCTCTTCCCCAGGCAAGGGGGGGGTGGGGAGGAGGGGGTGGGGGGGGAGGAACTGGAGCCTCCTCCTCCTCCAGGAGAGACACACACAGGCCCCCGGGCCGGAATGGGGAGGGAGGGATCAGAGCAGCAGGAGAGAAACTGTGGGAGACAAACAAGCCCAACTCTTCATCCTCCTCCTCCTCCTCCTCCTCCTCCTCTCAGCAGCAGCAGCGAGCACCACCAGCCCATTCACCACCCGGCCCCGGGCCGCAGCACCTCCGCCGCCTCAGCCCGGGGATCCCTCCGCCCAGGCCCAGACACACTCGCCCGCGCGGGAGCCCGCCGCGCGGCCCCGCCGGCCCGCCGCCGCCGCCGCCGTGCGCGCCCCCGCCGCTCCCGAGAGCCGGGCGAGAGGGACTGGGGCCGGGGAAGCGGGGACGAGGGAGCCCGGGCGGGCGGGCGGGCGGGGGGCCGGGCGGAGCTGGACCGCGGCGGGCCCCGGCCGCCCCGCGCCCCTGCCTATGAGCCCGTGGCTTGCGGGAGGCGCGGGGAGGACCCCGCGGGGGCCCGGGGCGGCGGCGGTGGGGCCCGCGGCGGCGCTCGGGCGGGCGGACTACTTGACGTGTCGGTGCGGCGAATTTATTTCACTTTGCCTAAGGAACGGGGTGTGCTGCGGCACCCATTGCCTAGGGAAAAAACCCGGATGTAAAGTGAGTGAAACTAAACTAGAGTGAAGTAGGGCAGCAGCAGCCAAACTCCGGTGCAGCGGCGGCGGCGGCGGCGGCGGCGCTGGGGCCGAGCGGCCGCCAAACTCCCGGCCCGCCGCCGCGCCGCAGCCCGGCCAGGCCCGAGCCCCGGTCCCCTCCCGCCGTCGGGATCTGCTGGGGGTGCTCCCCGAGCAGCCCCAACTCCCTCCAGTGCAACAGCAGTTTGCAGGGGTGGGGGTGGAAAGAAGGCAGGAGCGAGGAGGAAGCACTGCAATGGGGGAGCGAGTGGTCCAGGCAACAGGAGAAGATGCAAGCTCAAGTCGAATGCAACATGCAATCCCCGGCCACCCCGCCCCCTTTGCAAATAACTACCCTTGAACCACTTTATTAGCCGTACAGAGTCCCACACTAGCTCCGGGGAGGGGCGGGGGACGGGGTCCTTCGCTCACCTTTATTTATTGCTGCTTTCTGCCCCCCTCTCCATGTTTTTTATTCCTAAGTTCTTTTGTTCTAAGGGGGATGATGGCATTTACTTTTCTGCTTTGTGTAGCAGGGCAATCACTGGGAATCGGCCACGTATAATCCGGCGGTTTGTCATATTTTATTAGTGAAAGTATTTTATGCCTAGTCCACCTCCAAGGATCTGTAACATGGAGACCTGCAGGGGGGTGGGCGACATCACAAGAATTCTTGTTTTCAGAGATTTCTTGGCGGGGCGGGGAGGGCCTCTTTTTTTTTTTTTTTTCTTTTAAATCTTTGAGGAGGTTCATTTAAATTATTAAATCGATAGTTTTCAACTTAAAGCTTAATGCTTTTGCACGGGTGAATTGTTGGGTTGTAAAATAACCCCCAACCACAATTTAAAAAAAAAAAAAGTAAAATTGCCTAGCTCTTAAAAAAAAAAAAATCCCATCTGGACACTGATCTCTGTTCTGAGCTGCATGCTGGACTTAAGGTAGCGTTAGCCTTCCTATGTTAAATAACAATAAACCTCAACCTCAACGGAATGCCAATGGGGGCTGGGGGTGGTTTTGTTTTTAAGGCTCAGCACTTTTGTAGCATCTGCCACTACGCATTTTCCAGGCATTGATTAACCATGCAGCTCCCACAGGCATGAAGTCCAGTTTTTGCAGATGAAGAGCAACAGGGAGAGGATTCGCCCAAAGTCAAAGTGAGCCATTGGCAGAACCAGGAAGAGCCTTGGACTTGATTTGTTACTAGTCACGTCTTTTCCATTAAATAATATGTTCGCCAAGAAATAGTATTTAAAAATAAGCGCACATTCTTTATCTTACCAGAGGGGCTCTGAGATCACTGGATAGGAAGAGATTTTCTTCTGTGAGCTGCAAAATTTAAATTTAGCTTCTCAAGAGGAAGCATTTTTTTAAAACTGATTTCTTAAAAGTAAAAAAGAAAAAAGTTTATTTTACATGTATAGGGTCACTAAGTAGTAGTTGTATGTTAAAAAGAGATCACAGCAGAAAGTGTAAGAGTTTGGGAGTAAAAATGAAAGTACCTATTAATGATTCAGGAAGCCTGGATGAACTCATAGTGTGAAACTCAACCTAGAATGCAGTCAAGATAAATAAGAGGGACAAGTTGTGCGCTCAGACTAACTTCAGCATTCAGCACTTAGATAACCAGCGTCCTGAAGATGGTGGTAGGCCTTTGGGAGCTGTAGCAGCGGGCCACTGGAACAGTAATCCAAGGGTGTCATTTCAAATCATCCCAAAATGGAAGATGTCAACATTTTTCCTCCCAGAGGAAGGCAACCTTGGTGTTCTTTTTGGGAGAGAAAAAAAAACTCTTATTTTTCCAGAAACGTGGGGTAGGGTGGGGGTGGGGTTGGCTCATGTTCAAATGGGGCATGAATGTGTAAACCCTATATAGCAGATAAGCAAATTTTCTGTGAGAGCCCAGATTGTAAATATCTTAGTTGGTTTTTTTTGTACCTAAGTCAATTGAGAGCTTCTCAACTCTTCTGTTCCTGTAACAAAATCCACCACAGACTACATGTAAACAAATGTGTCTAAATGAGTGTTCTAATAAAGTTTTATTTGTGCACATTGACATTTGACTTGCATATGCTTTTCATATTATGAAATGTGTTTTGTTTTTACTTTTTTCAACTTCTAAAAAAGCAAAAAACAATTTTTTTTTTTAAATTTTAGCTTTCTTGGGACATCACAGAGCCAAGCACTGGGAGGGTAGGATGTAGCAGCTATCCTTGGTGCATCCCTTCTCATGAGGGTTCAGATGGAGTAGTCATTGAACTTCCAGCAGGGAGTGTTCGCACAGCAATTAGAAATCAGAATTGTAAAATAACAGATATTTACACATCAATTTCTTTTTTTATCATTGTTTTGATTCCTAGGCTTGGGATTATTTTGGAGTGTTGGTTTATTTTGTTTTGTCTTGTGACAAGGTTTTATGCTGTGGCCCAAGCTGGTTTAAAATTCACAGTGTAGCCCAGGTTAGCCTCCACCTGCTTCAGCCTTCTGAGTGTTAGAATTACAGATATGAGCCATCACTCCTGGTTTCAAATGTTTTAGCTATGTAATGTCTAACATTCTTGAGGCTCTCAACATTTATGGAGAAGAACATTCTACCCTGTGATTCCTTGACAGGCAATCTTTCCGTTTTTACTCAATGAGAGTAAAGGATAATGGGATTGCGCGAGCCTGGATTCTGGTACCTAAGAACTTATGTCTCTTTTTCGACTAAGCTGCTTTGGGCAAATTATTTCACTCCCCCCCACCACCACCTCAGTAGTCCTCGTGTACAGTGAAGGTGGTGGGCTGGGCTTGTAGCTGAGTTACAGAGTGTCATGCTTAACATGTGTGAGGCGCTGGGCTCAATCCCTAGCACCCAGACGATGATGATGATGATGATGAGCCAGGTTTCACAGAGCTGTTGGAAAGGTTGAATGAGGCTGAGGAGGCACTCGGGAGGCAGAAGCAGGCGGATCTCTGGTGAGTTCGAGGCCAGCCTGGTCTACATAGCTAGTTCTAGGACAGCCAGGGGTACATAGTGAGACCCCGTCTCAAGAAAAGGAAGGAAGGGTAGAGAAAGGAAAGCAAAAGAAAAGATGGTTAGCTGAGATACTTCAGGAAAGTGCCTCACACAGTGCTCGGTGTGTGAGACTGCATGAGACGTCCATCTTTCCTCATGCCCAAAATGTTCATTTCCTGCACAGCTGGAGAAGGTGAACAAGCGTCAT